GTGGAAACAAGAGATCAGGAGTTCGAGGTCACCCTCGGCTACGTAGAGGGTTCAGGGCCAGCCTGGGCTACAAGAGATCTCATTATATGCAAAGAATCCAGGAATCTACCCTAGAGGAGCAGGGGGCAGAGTATAGAGTCAGAAATACTGCCGCCAGAATGTAGGTCATTCTGGCTGGGGAGGTTGTCCCCAGGGAACGAGCGGTGTTTGGAAGCTGGTGTTCTGAGTTTCTCGCTGAGCAGGGGCTCCACAAGTCTCTGGGCATCGCACAGATACGGCCTATTTCAGACGTGCACACGGCTACCTGCCGGCTCCCTGGGCTGTGTACCTCATCTATGCCCTCACTTATTTTGTTTGGGCTTCCTATTTTTGCACAGTTGCTGGGAAATTATATCCTAACTGACTTTACATCTTATCTTTTTAATATTATGGGTGAATTTCAGTTTGGATATACAATTTAGGGGCCAGCGAGATGGGGCAGTGGGCTTGCTGCCAAGCCTGAGTTCAACCTCTGGGACCCACATGGTGGGAGTAGAAAACCAGTTTCTACAGGTGTCCTCTGACTTCCACATGTGTGCCCAGGCATGTGCAAACCCACATACATACCCATATGCTCAAATAAGTAACTGCCGTGATTCAAAACATAAATGAATAAACCTTTATGGTGCCAGCCTTGTCTGTCCTCGAACCTTCACACAGTAGGGCTCACACAGCCTGTGCACCTTGCTTCTGCCTTCTCTTCTTCCCCCATAGTACTACATTGCATCCACTGTGCCGGGAATGGAACTGACTTAATCCACCAGGTCACACACGCAGTCGTGAGCACCCGTGGGGCTTGTCCGTGTTGCCAGAGGCAGGCTGATAATCTCCCAGCCGATCTCCAGATGTTTCCTAGAGCCTCTCTTTACAAACACCCCTGTCATGGGTGGATACGGAGCCGGGCACGCTCTCCTAGCTGGCCAGCCTTTGCTGGAACTCCCCCCGGGACCTTTTTCTGGCACAACCTGTTTGGTCTTTGTTTTGTTCTCTTGCTATTGTGAGGTGAACGATTGCTGTACGGTCACGCTGGCCTTGGCAAGGCTGCCAACCTTCTGCCCCAGCTGCCTGAACGCTGAGGTGACGATCGTGCACCCCAACACACAGCTAGACCTTTTTTCTTTTAGCTTTTCCCATTTTGTCTGCTTTGTCATGGTGACAGGGATTGAACCTAGGGCCTTGCACATGCTGGGCAAGCCCTTGCCTACATTTTAAATACAGTATCGTTTATTTATTCTTTGAGATCATAGCATTCACACAATGTATTTCAATGGTATAGACTTGCTACTCCTCCCAGGTTCTTCTACAGCCCCTCTAACTTAGATTTTATATGCTTTTCTTTTGTCCTTTGAGACAGGGTCTCACTGCGTAGCTCTGGTTGGCCTCAAATTCCTCCCGCCTCTGCCTCCTGAGTGCTGGGAGTAAAGGCGTGCATAACTTACCAGGCTGGTTATTATGGTAGCTTGCAGGGGTCACAGCTGGGTGAGACTGCTGGATTTTTCAGCCCCAGCTGCCTGCATAGCGCCTTCCTGCATGTGAAAGTGGAACAGGGAGGAAGCTCCCAGGTCAGCACCAATGTGATTCCTCTAAATTCTGTGACCGATGTGTGTGGTATCATCAGCAGTAGTCTTACCATCAGGTTCTGGTGGGCAACAGCCTGTATTGTTTGTGATCTCCTTGACCAAAAACTTGAGGGGATGCTGGGTGGTGGTGGCACACACCTTTAATCCCAGCATTTGGGAGGAGGTAGAGGCAGGTGGATCTCTATGAGTTTGAGGCCAGCCTGGTTACAGAGCTACACAGGGAAACCTTGTCTTGAAAAACAAAAACAAACAAACAGAAAGAACTTAAGGGGAGAAATCCCACACCTGTTCCTGGGTTTATTCGTCATTGTTTTGCTTCTTCTTCTTTTTTTCTTCTTCTTTTTTTTTAAAGGAGCTTTTTAAAAAATATTTTTATTTTAAATGCATTAGTGTTTTGCCTTGTGGGTTCTGGGATTGAACCCAGGTCCTCTGGAAGACCAATCAGTGTTTTTAACCATTGAGCCATCCCTCCAGCCCCCTGTGTGAGATAGGGTCTCATTATGTAGCCTTGGCTGGCCTGGAACTCACAGAGAGAAATCTACCTACTTCTCCTTCCAGAGTGCTGGGATTAAAGGTGTGCATCACCATGCCTGACCTCAGGCTTCTTATTTACCTCTAGAAGAAGTTCTCTCTCTCTCTCTCTCTCTCTCTCTCTCTCTCTCTCTCTCTCTCTCTCTCTCTGTGTGTGTGTGTGTCTGTCTGTCTGTCTGTCTGTCTGTGCTTTATGTTTGGAAACAGAGTCTCTCATTTGCCTGATACTTGGCGATTAGACTGGCAAGCCAGTGAGACCCAGGGATTTCCTTGTCTCTGCCTCCCCAGTGACAAGATCAGAAGCCTGTGCCACTGTGCCTAGCTTTTTTATGTGTGTTCTAGGGATTGAACTCTGGTCATGCTCACCCAAAAAGCATTGACCCCTCATCTTCCCACTGACCTGCCTCGCCATCCCTCAAAGAAGTGTTTAATACCCAGCCCGACTGCTCTCCCAGGTGCCCTTCTGCCTGCTGGACTGGCCTAAGGGATCCTTGCGGGCAGCACTGTCCTCAAGGGACTCACCTTGGCTTTCTCCCACTCTGTGTTCCAGGGCTATTATCTTTGACCTTGGGAAGGGGGATGGATGGAGTGACAGAATCAGCTGTGTTTGGCCTTGAGTTTCATGACTGTCATCTAATCTCATATCCTGGTGTCTGTGGTGTCTTTGAGAAAAAAAAAAGGCGATTCTACAGTCACAGTGGGCCAGAATCCACCTTCTCGAGTGTGGGGCAGAGTGGGGAGGGTCACTTTTCACTAGGTGACACTGTGATGCCAGGGGCCCGTCTGATCCACCCATTATTCCTTGTCATTTCTCATTTAAACCTTCCAGTGGCCCATGAGGTGGACACTGCGCTTGGTCCATAGTGACCTTCTATGTCACCAGGGTAAAGCGACTATAACTGTCGCTGCCTCAAAGGGCTATGGTGCTGGCCAAGAGGGCAAGGCCTGGCATGGGGCACCCAGGGACACTCTGGCTGCCGCCGCCAGAGTCCTAAAATGCCTCTCTGTTTGTGCCAGATGTTCAGGCTGTGGTTGAATGCAGCCACAGGAGGCTACAGCTGTAGGAAGATGTGACGTGGCCTCTCCTAGGTGGGGATTCATCCTCAGCAGACGGTTGACTTTTTTTGAGTCCCACAGAGGACAGGCTAGACCCAACCATGACTTCTGTGACGAGGCCTTGTAGCATTCAAGAACAAACTCTGGCCCTGAGAGGTAAACTAGGCCTAGGAGAGTGTGGTCCAGTGTCAGCCTGCCTTGGAGTCTGCCCTGCCCTGCCAGCTCTGGCCTGCCACCTGTTGTTTCTGGCTGTTTGGGGACAGTGGGATAGTTGTCCTTGTCCTGGAAGGCCTAGGAGACAGTCGAAGGTGATGGAAACTGCCCGAGACTGGCTTTTGGACATTGCTGTCTCTGATGAGCTGGGGGCGGGGACTCTTAGCTCTATAGAAAGCAGAGGGTCAGAGCCTTTGGGAAAATAGGTGGTTTTGTTTTGAGACAAGAATCTCATTCATCATGGATCCCAGGCTGATCTCAAAGTTACCATCTTTCTGTTTCAGTGCCCCAAAGTACTGGGAGGACAACCCTGAACCACTATGTTTGCTTTACACAGCTGGTGACTGTGTGCTAGACAAGCTCTGAGCCACACCCCGGCCCTGCTTGGTGCTTTTTCTATCCCACCAAGCTGATGACTGCCAGTAATCCTCTTCCCAGAGTCCTCTTCCCTTTCCTTGCGCTCTCAACATGTCACGTGACACTGGCTTTCCCCGCCCCCCCCCCCCCCCCCCCCCCCCCGCCCCCAC